TTCATGTCAAGTGTTGTTCATTGTGTCCGTAAAGTTGATTTGGTTAAAACGCAATAAGATGTTGTAGCATATCATGTATATTTGTCCAGTTGATATATAAAATAAAATAGAACAACATTATGAAATGGTATATGATGTTGTAGCTACGAAAACATGAACTCAGAGATCAGTTTGTTTCAGTGACTGAAATGGTATATGATGTCTATATATACATACATGTTGAAGTTAATATGGGGAACAAAAATTTGTATGTTGAAGTTTAAAGATTTTATGAAATGTTAGCTCAAAGATTTCATTGTATTGCTTAATTATAAGGTATACATTATTTTTATATTTTATATATTGGTTTTTCATTTCACATGTATTATTTCAATGGACTTTTGTAGTGATGAGTGATTATGACTTCAACTTCCTCAGCTTTATTTCTAATTTTAGTTAGTAGGCTTATTTGTAGGTTAAACATTATAAACAAATTATGACTTTGAACTTTGTATACTTTGACTTATTTAGCTTTTATGAACTTGTGTGTATTGTAATTTGATACCTATGACTCAATAAGGGTGAGTGTGGTTTAATTATCTATTGATTATAATTTGAAAAACTTCTGGATGGATAACTAAGTATATTAATTTTGCAATTATGGGTAGTTGTATTAGCGTCAGCTATAACCTTCATTATTTGCGTCTGATTTTGGTAAACATTATTTAAGTTGATTCTTGTAATGAATAAAACTTTTATATTCTTCATTCGTTCTTCTATAATACAAACTTACCATATTTCACAATATTTATTTGGATATCCTGATCATATTAGACAACAAGAAATAAAGGAGATCACACAAAAATCACAAAATCAGTTACAAATCAATTATAGGCTCAAAGAATATATAAATACAGTCAAAATCAATTAACTTAGAAAGTTCAAATTGATTTTCAGAATTTTAAATAGTACAAGAGGTTGTTGGTTGACTGGTTGTATTTATTATTATGTCTTGATTATTAGGTTCAAATCCGAGTTTGCTTAGTTACTTTTGTTACGATTTTTACGATGATGTCGTGGATGTCAAGTACTGTACTGTGCAAAAGAATTTTCAACATATATGTCACTAAACTTCAGTTAACGTCGACTGTCCAAAAAGAAACTCAATCATTCATTGTTAAAATGAATAATTTTAAGGAATTAGAAAATACTTTAAGATCATTAGTTTTAATAATAATACTCAATTATTTTATTTATAAAATTTTAAATATAAATAAATTTAACTTTAGTTTTTAAAAGATTTTCAATAATTTTTTGTATTTTGTTTTTTTATTTTTTGAGCTTGTTTTTAATCTATTTGATAATCAAATACCATAAGTGAATTCATGGTAAAAAAAATCTATTATGACCTATCAAAATTTATTTTTTAGCTAGCTTAGTATTTTGATGAACATGTAGTTATAAGATTTATGCATGCATGTGAATAAAAATAGCTCACAGTGAATATTTCTTTAGTTGTAATAGTAATGGACTTAAGCATGTGATTTGTTGCTTGTGTAGGTGGTTAGAGCATTTGGTAAGAAATAGAACTTTAAGAAGTAATTGAGTTAAAGGACGATTTTGCAATAGATAAAGGAAACTGATAATGTTTTTATACAATTTGATTTATAATCTAAACTGAATGCTTGATAATTTATGAAAGAATTGTTGATTCGTGAATGTGGAGTTAAATGGTACTCTTTGATTTTATTAATGAATTTTTACCTAAATAAATTTTATTTTCTATTCTATTAGAAAAAAACAATCTTATATTTTAATATATTAAAACATATTTTTAATATGTCACATCCATCAAATCATTCGTATATTTTTAAAAGGTTTTTCTAATATCTTTATTCAAAACTTAAAACAAACAACATTACAATTAATTTTTTATTTCCTCACATTTATTCACTTATTCTCTCTCAAATCATCTCTCCAATCTAAACCCACAACGTTTGTTTTTTAAGATAAATATGATAGAGTGAACTTGAGAATAAAGGATGAAACAGATGTTTTTTAGATTAAGAAAAAAATGATGAGAAAAGAAGATATTTGAAATGAAAATTTACAAAATGATGGAATGAAATTGATAAATTAAAAACAAAAGTTAATTTATAAAATTGAAATATTACCATTTTATCCTCAGTCATAAAAATAATTTAAAATAAAATGTAATTATATTAAAATGGAATGTAAGTTATTATTTAAAAAAAAATATTCGTAATCTGTCAATTAAATTAAAATAAATTGTGGATAATTATTTTAAAAAAAATAACTCTAACTGATTAAATGATTTTAAATTAAGAGGAGATTGTTTAAAGTTAATATAAATTAAATTGCGAGTAATCTGTTAAAAGAATTGTATTCTTAGAGTAAACAAAAAATATGCATGGTTAATTAAAAGACAAAGGACTTTTGTAATTAATAGAAAAGCAAGGAGAACATGATCGTTTTAAGCTTGATGCGTTAGCTTTCTCACCTCAAATATGATCCGAAAACAAACACTGCGTTATAAAAGTAGAAGTAGTTTTCTTGAAACACAATTTCATCATTTTTAATGTTTAAAAAAATACAATTTTACCTATTTATGTAATTTTTCTAAATCTGTTTCTATGGGTAAATTTGATAAAAGAAAAAATTAGACTACTTTCACTGAAAAAACTATAGACCTTTATTTGGCATCAGCATGATATGTCAGAATTCTCATTCTTTCTCTTTGATAGTGAAACAATTATTTTGTTAGTAATTATTGAAGGTAAAATATCTACTCCAAATGTGTGGAATTTGAGAGATTTAAATTTGCATGGTTCTCAAAGTTAGAGTGGGCCTTCATTCTGGGCACATCCTTTGATATATCCTTTAATACTAACAACAACACGAGCAACTACCCTTTGTCACGCAAACTTTCTCTTTGCCAATAAGGTCACGCTCTCAAATGAGAATAAGGGACCATAATAACATTCATTCACATATGGGGACTTTCATTGCAAATATACACCATAATTATATACCCAAAATAAAGTAGAAATCTAACTGAAGTTTGCATGAACGTATGTACGTTAACATTAGGTAACATCATCATCCACGTTTCAAGCAAATCATTTTACATCGTATTGTTTGAGATTTGTGCTTAGCATTAGGGTGGGCAAAATAAACTGTACTGTATTCTTATAAACTATATTGATTTAAAAAACTAACTTGTTTAAATTCAACTGAACTTAAAATAAGCTCAATTATATTGAATTAAACTATTTTTTTCTTTCAAACTGTGTTGTACTATATTGTACTATTTTATCATATTATTAAAATTAAATTAACAACTATAACAATTTGTTATTAATTTAAAGATATAAAATGTCTAAAATTTGATTCTCATATTAAAAATAGTTTAATTTAATAATGTAATTTCTTTTATATATTATTTTATATAGATTACAAACTTAATCTTTAAAAAATATCTCTCTTTATCTCTATTTTGCGTTATTTGAAATATTTTTATTTTGATAATTACCTAATTTAATATAAAGGATCTCATCTTTTTTATCTTCTCTTCTTACCTTTTTCTGATTTCTCTATTATATATATAATTAATTAATTTTATTAAGTTATAAAATAATTTACCAGTTCTTGAAATATAATTACAATATAATAAAATTTAGTTTTTTAAAATATATAATTATTTTTGTATAAATTTAATAATATTATTTTATTTTAATAATTATTATAATAATAGTTAATAATAATAATTTTATTTATATATATATATATATATATATATATATATATATATATATATATATAAAGCAAATCAAACAAACAAAAGTAAAATACACTACACAGTTTAAAATAGTTAACTAAATTATTAATAAAAGAAGTTCGGTTTTTTTAACTGAACTACAAATAAATATAATTCACTTTTTATAAAAAATAATTTAATTTTTATAGTGTAAAATAGTATAAATAATTCATAATTTAGTATAATTTAGTAAATACTTAGCATAAGGAATTTAACCCATACAACTATTTGGTAAGTACTGACCTCATTTTTAATCATGGGAAAACGGATTCAATCATAGTTGGAGAAGTTGATTCATGATCCTTATTTGTTTCCTATAAAAATAAAACTTTGATGTATTCTTTTCCTAGATCTCAAATATGTTTGTTTTATACTTACTATCATTTCCGAATGTTGATATCTATAATCTTCATCTGGTTACTTCATCAATTTATTTGTTTTCCTCATTGTCACCTTCTTAGCAATAATAATAATATTAATAATTAATAATTATAATAATTATGAGTAAAAGGAATGAGAATAATTCTTAATAAATTTAAATAGCATATTTTTAAAAAAAAATTAAAAGTCAAATTCTCAAATGATTTCTCATCAATATTGAAAATAAATATATTTATTTTTTTAAATTGAGCTACAAGTAATTTCAAATATATTTTTATCAATACATATTGTTGTACAAATTGTATATTTGAAAATAAAAAACAAAGTATCATGCTTATCATTATTGGTTAGAAATTAATTTTTATATTTTTATGAATGATTATCTTCCTTTCCTCTTTCAAAATCACAATTTTTTTCGTGAGGTGATCTCACATCATTGTAATTTTTTTCTTCTCTTTTATGAAAGGATTACTGATTTTTTTATCACTACAAAAAAAAATCGCATATTATCTGTTGGTAATAGTATATAATTGTCAATAACTTGTGTTTTATTGAGTTGATAAAATTTACAGACAAATATATATATTTTTGGTAATTATTGACAACTTCAAATTCATTGGTAAAATGCGTCGTTGAGTCTCTTTCTTCCTTCATTTTTTCTTTTTTGTTTCGTTTATTTTTCTTTATAAGTATCTTTGACTGGTCGTCGTGTCATAGCTAACAGTCTAAGTCATTTTCATTAGACCCCCATCGTCTCCATCATCCATAACCTTAATAGATATCATTAACATCAATGGCACACCTCTCCATGTAAGCCATCACCCTCTGTGTCAGCCACCAGCAAACCTTTTCATAAAGAACCACACTGTGCTTTAGCCATTGACAAGCCTCTACATCACCCACCACCCTCTACATTAGTCACTAGCGAGCTTCTGTGTCTCCCATCAGCTTGTTGAGCTACGTCCACCTCCTCGTTCTTGTCCTCTTCCTTCTCTTTCTCCTCCACCTTCGCCTCCTCTTCTCTTCTTCTTCTCACCTGTATATCATTGACATAATAGAAAATTTTTCTGATAGAGTGGAAAATTTGTTGTTCAAAGTGTTGACAAATATGTTGTCAAAAGTTACTAGCATAACTTTTGTAATGAATTTTATAAACTAATTATTTTAATGAAAGTATTCATTAGTAAATTTAAATACAAAATCTGTCCATACATTCGTAAATAAATTAAAATTTATTGATAAACACATTAGTTGGAATTTTATTTTTTTTGTATATATGCACCTCTTAATTAATTTTATGCAACAAAGTGTTACCCAGTTTGATATAGATACATCTATAATTTATATAACATCGTCATAAAATTAGCATAGGTAGTTATTAAAAACATTAGTATATCTCATTAAATATAGAGACTCGTTAACTAATTTCGAGTTTTATTTTTCTTATTAATAGGATAAGAAAAATAAAAGCTTTTAATAAATAATAATATAATAATGATAATAAACAGAAAGCAACAAGAAAAAACATATTTAAATGGCACGAGAACCTACCATTTATCCACCTATAGGGTTTGGTACTTGGTAGACATAAAATCGTAGGAAACATGCATGAACCTAACATAAGAGCATAATGGATATGTGCACTTTGTCTTTGTTATCGAACTCCTTAACTTTAAGCTTTGAAGCTTGAAGGGTACCCTGTCATTGTTTTCGAAAATTGAGGCTTGGACCATAAAGCATTCAATTCAATTAGCATCAATTGTGTCATATACTATACATCTCTAGCGTTTATTCTTTTTCTATTTCCCACCCAGAAACTGCTTTTTATTCAGACTTAACTGTTCAGAAAAACTAACCAAACCATAAATTGAATTATAAATTATGGAATAGTCCACTTTGGTATAAAAATATAGTATATTTAAAATTAGGCTTAATTGGCTCTAAATTTTTGATTTGTTTTAATTTTTGTATTTGTTTTTTACTCAATTAGTTTTTATTTTTTATTTTTTTTAAAACCATACTGTAATTTTTTTTTATTAAATTAAAGTTAACACTATTTTGAAAGTGTTATATATCAAAATTTAAGTCCTTTGTTTATCAAATTTTGGGTCATTAAATAAAAAATTACATAAATTTTAGCACACATATCCAAAATTTTAATACGTATTTCAATAGTGATGGTGATTTTACAATTAGAGGCAATCTTTACTTTCTTATGCACAAATAAATTTGTGACAGAAATTTCAGATATGTAAAAGTAAATCTGACAGAAGGGATAAAGATCCAATCATTTAATAACTTCAACATATTCATGCACTTTGTTTTTCCAAAATCGGATTGGTTAGACATGAATGAATTAAAGAATGAAAACAAAAAATGGTTCACACTGAATCAATGTTGTGCGACAAAAACTCATTTTTATTCTTAAAAAAATAAAATAAAATGAACCTAAAATGATTGTTAGTTTCATTTAAAATATGAGCATGTATTATTAGTAAATATTTATGTATATTATTAAAATGTCGGCTTAAGTATTATAATTAATAGATTTTATTTCACTTTTAATTATAAATTATGACATATATTTTTAGCTTCTAATATAATAAATGATAACATTGTATATGTTTTTTAATGTTATTTTATGTTGTCAACCTTTAATATTCAAATAATATTTTAAAGAATCTAAAACTATCACTCGTTTCAAATATAATTGTTAATTTTTTAAAGAGTTAAATATGTTTTTAGTCCCTAAACTATTGGCCGTTTCTGGTTTTCGTCCCTCTTTCAAAGTAAGGTACAATTTTGGTCCTCATTCTTTTCGAAACGTTCGTTTTAGTCCTCGGAATTTTGGTTTTAGTCCTCATTTGTTGCTAAATGAGGACCAAATTTTTAAACAGTGTTTAGTTTTCGAGGACTAAAACAAACGTTTCGAAAAGAATGAGGACCAAATTGTACCTTACTTTGAAACAGGGACGAAAACCAGAAACGACCAATAGTTGAAGGACTAAAAACATATTTAACCCTTTTTTAAAATTACAATAAATACAATCACATACATTCTTATTTTAAACTCATATTTATAAAATCCTTATTTTAAACCTATATTTATAAATTTTAGAATAAGTATTTGATTAGGATGAATTGTGACCCAATTAATGTTAATTATACTTTACCTTAAATTAATCAAAATTAGAACTAATCTTTCTATCAATTGACTGTTGAGTCTGTATCTAGAACAATTTGGTTAGAAGGATGGTTCGTGGAAGAGTCCAATTAACAATTGTCCATCCAATCTATAGTTAATTAAATGGTCATACGATACACATCAATAATTGAATCTTGAATTAATGTTTTAACTGATCTAGTGATACATCTAGTACTAATTTTATCAGCATACTTTAAAGGCTCGAGTCTACATATTGATTAACATTATCTTCATAATTTTTTTTAATCTCTTAAACTAATTACTCGCTAGAAACATGAGAGATTTCATGCGCATGTGTTTTGGTCCCATGCTCTCTGAATGTCCAATTACGTATTTGCAAAAATGTATTCAAACGTTTCAATACTCCTTTGTACACTCATAATCATAACAAAAAAAAAACATAAAAATATACATCGAAATATTGTCGGGTTGACTCACCAGATTTTAAACAAGTTTCAATCCACTTATCATTTCATTCCAATGAATTTTTAATGGTATGCTTTTTGATATGATTGATTCCGATGGAGTGGCTGGTCATCCGTCGTATTGATAGAGATTTCTAGTTCCTGTGTCTTGATTACAATGTGAAGAGAATCATGGCTTCAACAATTGATCATCTCATATTTCTTTATAAAAGCAGCTTTTTTAAATAACAAAAAAACGTCTTAACCCTTCTAAAACAGAATAAAAAGTTTGTAAAATTTATGGATAATGAACATGAGTATTAATCACCAATGTTTAAATTGTTGGGTTCCTCAGATATTCTATGAACATTTTACCCAGTGCCCCAGGTAACTTTCATTCACTTGTCGCTGTTCATGACAGATCATGTGAGGGAGACGAAGGAAGAGAGAGAAAAAAAGAAAGCAAAATCATTCAAATTTGTATGTTCTTTGAGTTTGGCATTAAATATGGTACAGAATAGTATCTAAATTTGGTAGTTGTAAGCTAACGACGTTCACATGAATGATGTCTCCCATCATTTACTTCAATGACTGAAAATTGGTCCACATCCATAATTCAAGATGTTGACACTAGAAACTGTTCAACCCTAATATACTGACGACTACTAACTATATATATAAAGTCATTATCATTATCATTAATTATTCTATGCATAATTCACTGATACCTAATCTTTATACAGTGATCAAGATGTTTTATACATGTTTTCCTGTCAACAACATCAATTATATATGGAATCATGATATCTTTTTCTGGCATTAGGGTTGTGATTAATGAAAGCATCAGCATTAAACACCAATTGTATCAGCTTTTTTCGTTGGTTTTCACTTGCCCTTCTGAGAAGTAATGATTATGTTTGTAACATGTGTGTAGCATAATAGCATATATATATATAGTCGAGTTTGAAATTTCTTTCTTGCGGTAGATTTATAACGGTTGCGGCATAGGTTTTGTATGTGCCTATAGATATACCAGTCATAATTGAGAAGCAGTGCTAGGTCTTTTTATGACTGTGCCTTGTCTTCTGGCATTTTATAGTGGTCCTAAAGAAGCAAGAAAGTAGATTCTGTTGCACTGTGCCTTAGTCTTCCTTCTTGACTTTTCCCCCTCATTAACTTATTCACCTTTTCTTATCTTAAATGGTTAAGAGTTTAGAGGGGCCCTTTCATGGAAAGTGGTTGAAACAAAACCCATCTTCCTAAATAGACTACACATGCATCATATAATGCATCTCAAAACTCAAAAGCTAAATCAAGTACACTTTTTTTCTTACAAATTCAAATGTGAGCTTAACATTATGCATTCATAAAATTAAAAAAAAAAATTAGTGTCTTAAGATTTTGAGTTGAAAATGATATTCCTTTGTTCATATTTAAGTTGAATTTGTATTGTTGTATCTTTCAAATAAATCTATAGATAAAATCATCATTTTTTGTTGTACGTGTTTATCTTTTTATATTGACTTTATTTTCCTTATTTGATATTATTAGTATTACCTACTATATTATATTATTCTTGAAATATTATAATACCACAACTATTTTCAACCTAAAACAAGATGTATTGTACTAAACTCTTCAATTGTATGAATCACTTTTGTGTACAAGACAGACAACATGTAATAACATAACTCTTGACAAACTAGTTTATAGCAATTTCTTATCTATATATGGACGAATTGGATGTATAATAGTGAATTATTTGGTACATGAAATAAAACACAATGCGAGATGTCAACGCTTGAATAATCCCGTTTCATAATTAAGCATATTTTTTTTCAAACAAAAATAAAATAAGAACTTTTTCTTTTGAAATATATCACTATTATTTTCTTAGAAAAGGTGGCATATGATAGATATGGCGAAGTGGGATGTTACTTGCCATTGTTGGTCATAATCATCATGGTGAACCTTACCACCACGATTAGTTGCGAGTCAAGAAGCCAAAAGATCTTTGATATTGATGGCCTTTGTGTGGGCAATTCCATCATTCTATTATTAATGCAAATTTGTTAGATTTTTAAATTGATTGGAAGTTTGTTTCATATCAAGCAATTATTGTTTAGTGATTCTTTAAGTTTTTTATGTTTGGATTTCAAAAGTTCTATAATAATGGAAATGTTTAAGAAACCTTTACAAATTTTTAGAATGGTTGACTTCGAGTAATTAATTAAGGGGATTAATCCTATTTATTAAATGTGATGAAAAAAATGTCAACTCTTCTAATGATAAAGAATGTATTAGGTCCAATGTTAAAGACTCATTTGTGATATTACGGGTAACTCATTCACTGCTCTTTCTCAAAATATTTGTTTTAGATGATTCACAATTTCTCAATAACATCAATCTATTTTAGAGTGAAAGATATATAACTAAATCTTTAGTGGATTTTATTTTCCTTAATATTTTCCTTAATGTTGGTTGAGGCTAATAAATTTAGAAATAAAAATTATATACACTCAAACACACTTTCTTACATATACTTTTAATATTATTAATTATAGAAGTATAATAAGTTTTGCTTATTATTTTATAATTCTCAATTATAACTTTACAAAGTTTTAAGGATACGTTCGGTTTTTGCAAAATAAAGGTTTTTAATTTCCATCCTTATATATTTTTTTAATATATTTTATATTTTCTGAAATTTAATTACTATTTTTTCCAGTATTATTATATGAAATCCTTTAGTTATTTATATGCTACTAAACATCTCAAGTGGAACTACTAGTGTTCATTTTATTTAGGTTTTTTAAAATAAATGTTAAGGAGGAATGTAATAATTTAAAATTTTAGAAAAATAAATATAAAAAGTATTTTATAGAGACTAAAATAAATAAAATTTTATTTTACAAAAGCTAATCGCTTCAAAATTTAAAGGGGTAGCAAATAAAATAAAATAAATTATAAAGTAGTATATGTATAGTGTAGTAGGCTACCAGTAATTGAGTTATTTTGGAAGTTGAAACGATTAGTACCAATTCTTTTTGTCCGGGTCAGTATTTTAGGTCCACAGTTTATCTCAAAAGTTGGGTTTTTACTTCATGCACCCCTTATATTCCTCCTGCACCCCATTTTTAAAAACTGCCCAAAATTTTATGCATTTGGATTTTAATTTCTTCAACCTTCAAAAGTTCTATTGTTTTGCTACTCTCAATTGGTGCCTTGTGAACACTTGCTTTGGACATTACATTTTAGCGAAAAATAGTATTGGATTCGGTAAATATTAGAAGATTAGAAGGATTTTGCCAATTAGAAAAGTGTTTCCAAACTTAAAATTTATATGGAATAACTCAAAGCTTATGGAAGCATGTATTTATGGTGAGCCAAATTTACAACATATCAAAAACCATGTAAAAATAAGAAAAAGTAACAAAAAAAAAGATATATATCACCTTTGAAAAAAAATATATAAAAAAAATAAATACAAAAAATAAATACAATAAGGAATTGTCAATTAAAGTCTTTCAAAATGGCAACCAAAGCAAGAGAAGAATGACATTCTCAATCCTTTGACATAATTTATAAAAGTGTTTATATATTCTTTAAAAGTGACTTGTAAGAGAGGTTATGTACTAATTTATAAGTTTATGTGTCATAACCAAAAGAACAAAGAGTTATTAAAAGATTACAAGATATGGGAATAAGGAAGAGAAATTCTAATTTTGAATATAAAACTAAAGTTAATTATTACACATCACTATGGTTCCTTGAATTTAGAAGACAAATATGTGATTATTTATAGAGAAGTTCCTTAATTTAAGGAAGGGACGTATGAAGTAATTACAACCTTCACATGTATTTAAAAGTGACATGTAAAAATTAAAAGTTTTTCATTTATCGCTTGAATAAACTAAATTCACATGCACTTGAAAGTAACATGTGAAAGTAAAAACTCTTTATGTGTATCTCAAATAAATTAAATTTACTCCATACACTCAAAAATAACTTGTCCGGGTAGTTACAATTATCATATGTGCTTGAAAGTGTTTTTTTTTTATGTTTATAACCATTTACTATTGTAATTATAAAGTATTATAGATATCCACTAGTGTTCTTAGAATAATTTTTAATATCCAGTATTTTTTAATATCTAAAATTTGTAGGTTTGGTGTTCACTAGAACTTGAAGCAAGTACATCGAAGTTGTATGTTAAACTTATGCAATAGTTACAATACCATGAACAAAGTAATAACATTGCATCATTATAGAAGATTTTTTATGTGAAAGGGCATTCATTTAATGACACCTTATATAAAAAGTTGTAAAGTATGACTAAGTCAATTGTGTTGATGTTGATAGTGAACATTATTTTTGTATACTTAGATCTACTCACAGTCTACCATGTATCTATAATGAGCTAATTTGAAATGCACTTGATGATATATCACTAGATTTACGGCTTGTTATGTGGAGTAAACTTAAATTGTCTAACATATCATCATGTGAGTCGTCATTTTAGTTGTCTATACAACCAAATTTTAACACTATTTTGAATCATTTTATAGGGGTTGACATTGTTAGTAAAGTCACATATGTGAATTGCATTTGCATATATGATATCATTATGTGTCCTAGTATATAAGGATAATGCTAAAGGAATATTTAAAGAAAAACTCAAGCTAATATAACTACATAACCTACAAAACATAAACCATCATATTTTGAACATGTGAATGTTATCCATTATATACTTTTACTTGAAAGTCAAGCAAACAAATATTAACAAAACGGAGCATCAATTATGAATGTAATATGTGCACTCTAACCAACAACAATGAACTATAGTGACTTAAAGATGCTTGGAATGAAAAGATAAAACAACAAAGTGTGATATATATATACATATATACATATATATATATATGTATATATATACATATATACATATATATATATATATGTATATATATACATATATATATATATATGTACATATATATATATATATGTATATATATATGTATATATGTTGATGTGGTTGTTGAAGGAGAGGGGGATTGAATGAGATACAAGAAGTAAAAGTCCAAAAGTTGCATCGAACCTTATTAGGTTACTACTTCATGCACCCCTTTTTTTTTCTTATTGCATCTCCACAAAACCTAATATATAGTTTTTAACCCTCGTTAAAATTATATTAAAAACCTAAATGATATATCCATCATCCTTTCTTCCTTTCCAATGTCGTAGTGACTTGTACTTCTAGCCTCCATCTTGAAACACCCAATCTGGAATGTATAAAAAATATGTTCCCGAAATGATAAATGCGAAAGATGTTTTCAAATCAAATTTATTCTTTTGGATTGAGTGTCCATCCCCACCTTTGCATCTTCATCTTCTTCATTCATTTCTCAACATAGGTAGCACTTCCAAAGAAGGCATTAGGGTACACAAATTTGGAAAAATTGAGGGCATGATTTTAGTGGTGAACACTTAGATGAAGATCAGAAAGCTGAACCACCCAAACCATAAAATCAAGACCCTCTTTGATGTTTTAATTATTACATGTGGGTTTTGTTTTTCAACATGCGTAACTACATCTCACTCCATATTCAACCTTGAAGTGTTGCTTGATGTGCAATTGTACCTATCCTTCTTTGTTGCACCTCTTTTCCTAATAAAACTTATCAAGTGTTGCAAAAATGAAGAGAAGATTATTGCGTGAAAGAATTAGTGTGAGATTATGCACAACCCATAAGTAATTGCCTATTCTTCTTCTCGTTGCTATAATTCTATGCAACATTTGTGTAGCTGAAAGCAATAATAAAAACATAAAAAAGGACCCCAATTTTGTGACCTGAGTAGTTCAACTTTTTGATCTTCATTTAAGTGTTCACCATTAAAATCGTGCCCTCAATTAGCCAAATTTGTGTACCCTATTGCCTTCTTTGGAGGTATTGCCTATGATGAGGAATGAATGAAGAGGATGAAGATACAAAGATGAAGATACAAAAGTGGGGGTAAACACTCAATTTGAAAGAAGAAATTTGATTTGAAAACATCTTTCGCATTCACCATTTCACAAAGATATTTTTTATACATTCTAGATCCAGTGTTTTCCAAAACACTCATTTTGATTTTTTTTTCATATTCCCAAATACCTATTTTTTAAAAAAAATTTAAATTTAGAAATAATTTCTAGAATAGTTAGATTATAAAAAAAATTTCAAAATAAATGTTAAAAAAGATATTTTTATTTCTAGAAATACTTTTCAAACCTCCAATCTAAAATATATATTTATTTTATATTTTGTAGATTAAATATCTCGAAAGCATTTTCCTGATTGAGAAATACGTAGAACATTCATTTCAGAAAATATTAAAAATAAGGAGGCATAAATTTTTTTTATTATAACTAATGGAGGGTAATTTAGGGATTATAACTTTTATGGGGGTACAGGACGAAAAAAGTGGATGGAGGAAGAAGTACCCGCCTTACTATTACCATAACGAGCCCAATATGAGCTCCCCCGTTGGGTCCACGGGCGAAATTCAGCGTGGACGAAAGGAAAACCATCCAGTGAGTCGCAACTACACAAGCAATGCGACTGGTAGGTAGTTCCACTGCAGCATCGTTTTTATGCATTATTAATATTATGAATTGAATTGAAAAGAAGAATATCTATAAGCCCGCTTCGTGATCTACAATTAATTCTGTTGCAGAATGTATGTGCCCAATTCTTGAGATGGTAAACAATTTCTCTCTCTCACGTTTCCATTGTTTTCTAGTCGCCTTTTCCACGAATACATACGTGCTTTATGCAGATTCTCGATTTTCTTCATCTCATGTTTTTTTTTTCAATTTCTATTATTCTCGCATGATTACTTGTGCAAGCATATTGGGCGAAGGTACCTTAGGGGTTTTTATCTTCTTCGTTTACTGATATTCCCGGTGTGAAAATCTATGTGATTCTAGAAATCTGAATTAAGCTATTATTATTAGCGGTGGTGGTTTAATAAGTAAATGTAAGTTTCTTTGAAACTTCGAAATACGAATACGTTTATAATTTGGTTTTGCTTTGGTTTTTTGGTAGGGTACAGATGATTGTTGTTTAATTTCGGCTTATGTAGATTTTGCACTGCTGTCGACATGAAGGAGAAGAAGAATACCGCTTCTACTCTCAAGCGTATTTTAGTGAATTGTGCATCTGAGGTTTGATTTTGTTTTACGTAGATCAAGCCAGAAATGTGCTTTTGGTTTTGGGTTAGATGATGAAATATTGGGTGTAGAACCTTTTCGTTACATAATTTAGGTGGTTAGACTCCTATACAGAATAACTTATACAATTTGTTTGTACGTTCGATAAATGGCTGGCTTGATTTTATTTTTCCAATTGCAAGAAGTACCGAGTTTAACTTATTAGTTTGATAAACGCTTTAAAAGCGCGATTATCACTTAGGTCAGGTAGTTAGAAAAGAGATAGACTGGGTTGTATTATAGGTGCTTTCCTACTCTCTTCTTGTCTTCTCCGTACTATCTTCTGATGGTTGGACACAAACACAAACATTGATTTGGTTAAGACCTCATCTAATAGGCAAAAGCATATGGGAGCTGTGTTGCAGTGAAGGTTCCAGACATTGAACGTGATATGTGTGTGAACGAATTTCTGGCACTAAAGAGTTGTATGCAGAATATGGTATTGCATTCTACTATTGGCATTGCAGTTATTATGTTCTTTCTTACATTTTAATTAAAAAAAAATAGCTTATATGCTTTTCTCTTTTAGCAATATTCTTGGAAAGACTGAAGATAAACAGTTTTGCACACTTCATTTAGGGCCTGTTTGTTTGAGTTTTTATAATCAAAAGGCTTGTTTAATGAAAACATAGGATTGACAGATTGTATTAGTTATGTAATTTTTTTAAATAAATAAAAAAGTGAAACCTCAAAAATGTTACTCTTAGTGTTTTTTATGAGAAGTTAAGGATAGTAGCTTCTGAAAAAAATGCTCTTAAGCAAAGCTGTGTCATACGATCACTATCTTTAAACTTAAACAATCATACCCTTAAAAAATGGATCATGACTTTTGAGAGTCAGAGCTGCTTCTGATTATACTTTTTTTGCTCTCCTGGTTCTGTTGCTGAAACCGTTTTGTTGTTTCTACGTATAATTGTTACCATTCTTTTGACATTTCTAATAAATTTCTCATGCTTCAAAATATTCCTCCAAACAGCTAAAAAAGAAGGTTTAAGTGAAAGCCCATTTAATTCCTTGTTCTGAGGGCTGCTGAAAAAGCAAACTAGAAAGCTTGATGGTGACAAATAGAAGTTTTTGTGGAAGAAGTTCTCAATCGTAACTTTAAGAGGAAGTCCTACAACTTGTTGCTGGCAAAGGTTTAACTTTCTGCACTTTTGTCTCCTGTTAATCATATATTTACCTTTTACTATCGAGTTTAAATAAAAAAAATTGGAGTTTTGCTGCAGTTGTTATTTTTCATCCGCTACACATTGTGTTAACAACGGAACATAACATGTCTGGAAAAGCATCAACTTCAAAGCCTAATATAGGTCTGAGTGGATCTGATGGTCTTTCACACGCTTACATTCATTATCCACCACTTCGGTGCAATGTTCCTGGATCTAGTGGATTATTTTATGATGATGGAAATAAGTTGGTACTCTCTCCAACAGTTGACCAGGTAATATGATACCAGTTATGTTAGTTATAAATCTAAGATAGCAATACTGCCTCCAGAAAAAAAATGGTGTGGCAGGATGGACACTATTTTAATACAATATAAATAATTTATACTGCCCATGGAAATAAATTACAAAAAAATCCCAAAATTAAAGAAATTCATGATAAATAATAAGCACATAATCATCATCAATCTAGGAGAAGATAGAAATGAAGTCAAAAAATGAAAGAAAACAGTAAAATTACAATTATATAAAAATTTGTAGATTGTGATTTAGGAAATTGACTGGAAGAAGCAAGAATGGAACAAATGGAAAAAAGTGGTTTGGTTAAGTGTGAAAGGGCATTTATCAAACTGGAGGTAATTTTTTGTTGACTAGTCAACAAAAGGTTTTCAAATCTTTCTATGTTTCTGAAGCAAAAAGTGCATTACAAAATGGGGGTTGAAATCACAACTTTAATCCAAAAAGAAAAATTAAATAGTTTCTCAGTGGTAAAAATTGGTTTATAATGCCATGGCAGCTTAGGGCTGCTTGGCTTTACTACGCCACTATTCCATGTTATTGACTACTATGTTGTGATATGCTTCGTACATTTAAGGTCTAGCGAATATAAGACGAGTTGTATATCCAGATTTTTGAATTGTTTCAAAATGGTAATTCATTTTTCTATTTTTGTATTCGATCACATGATCACACTGTCTGCATGTGTTTGTATCATTTAGGTCTTTTCATGGAAAGTTGGTCTCTTTGATCCTCTAATTGATCAAACCGCTGACTCAATAAGTGAAGGCCCTATTATAGCTATTCGATATTCTTTAGACACAAAGGTAATAGCAATCCAGCGATCAAACCATGAGATGCAGTTTTGGGATAGAGAGACTGGGGGTACTTTTAGCCATAAGTGCAGGCCAGAATCAGAAAGTATACTTGGGTTTTTTTGGACAGATAGTCAACAGTGTGATATTGTTCTTGTTAAGACAAGGTATGGTTAGCTTATTTATTCATCTATTCTTTGTTGATCTGATATGCATCTACATTTTACATATTCTGATTGTTAAATTAAGAAGAAACCCAACAAATGCTAGTAATAGTGCTTCCTAGCCGGAGATTTGCAATCCTACAATATCTTGAAAATTTAGAGGATAATTAATCTATTTGGATTTTTTGAGGTTTGTGAGAAGCTTCATTGGATCAATCATTTTTATAAACGTATTTGAATTACTGAATGGAATAAGAGACTTGAATTATTTTAGTCTTGGTGAATTATTTATTCTGTCATCTATTTCAGATCGTTATGATTTGGTTGCCCTACCCTTCAGATGTCTGTCACTAGAACCTGCTAACATGTTAGCTGAGCAATGGAATAATGCTAAAAGGAAGTTATTGACAGGATTAGTGACAAAACAGATCATGGAGGATGGTACCACGTTGGTACCATATTTAGAATTGAGAAACAAAGAAAGAATATAATGAATTCTGTGAGTTGGATATACACATAAGTGTTCTTATTTATAGTGAAAAGGAGATATAATAATAATAAGGAACAAAATCAATATCTAATAATGAGAAATATTTGATAAGAAATTTTCCTATCAAATCATATCATATCTCCCTATTTAGTGTAATTAAATCATATTAACATAATCAGCTTCTATCTCTAATACCCCACCTCAAGTTGGAACATATGCATAAAATGAAACAAACTTGCTACAAATGTTATCAACACAAGTCTGCTTTAGAGACTTAGTAAACATATTAGTTAGTTGGTTGCCAAAAGTTGACGAAGTTAATAATGACAAAGCTATTAGATGTTTCCCAAGCATGACTTTCTCTTTGTCAAAATAACCATCAATCATCAATATGTTTCGTCATCTAAAATCATATCTTTACCACTCCTTCTCAAACTGAAACATGAGTCAAACTTGTTAAAAATGGTCAAAGGGCACGATGGCTGCATGACATGGCGGTTGCTGGAAAGTAAAAAACAGTTAGAGAACATGACAACGATTGGAAAGCAAAAATGCTCAAAGAACAGTGGCTACCGGAAAGAAAAAAATCTTAGAGCACATGCTGCCGTTGATGAGTCTACATTTAAATTGTGAGATTCTAATGTGGGATCTACAAGTCCTTACACCTGCCAAACATAACTATATTTTTTAGACTAAATCTAGCACTGTTATTATTAATCAATATCGAAGCTTTTCACCATGTCTCTTAGCTGCAAAAAGGTGACTTGAGTTGGTGACGCTTCCGTTGTAGTGTGTCAGAGACTAGATAAAGGGCTAGTGCAGCCAACCCACATAGGCAACAAGGCATGTTATGATCCAATTTTTTGGAATGTGACTTGACCCACATTAAAATTATGAGGTTCTAGTCTGGGGTTTAAATGTCGTCGGGCTTTCCAACAATAGCTAGCTTTTCTATGTGATTTTCCAAGTATTCTTTTATCAATATTTCTCTTTCCCATATGTTTTTATTTCCATTTTGTTATGTATATACTGACTTAAAAACTTCCTAAACAGTGGTCTAGACTTGTATGCTTATAATTCAGAGTCAAAATCACTGCAACTGGTGCAAACAAAGAAACTGAATGTGAGTTGGTATGTTTACACCCATGAAAGTCGATTGGTTCTTCTTGCTTCTGGCATGCAGTGCAAGACATTCCATGGCTTTCAGGTGAGAGTTTGTATTGCTTGCTTCTTTTTCTTGTAGTTGTTAGATCAGAAAGATATTTAACATGAAGAATAGTATTTTATTTATTTTTTTCAAAATAAGGCTAAATATCATTATTTTTATAGAAAAGAGTGGCATGTGTCAATGCAGCATCTGTAATGGTGCTTGTTGTGACTCATGAGTATTAATTTAGAATATCAACTGATACAGCTCCTGTGCTATTTCTTTTTTGGCTAATACAGCAATGCCTTTCTTAGATTTCTTCTGCAGATATTGTTCGTTTGCCAAGATTTGAGATGGTTATGGCCAAATCTGAGGCAAATAATAAGCCTGTTTTAGCAGCTGAAGATGTCTTTATTGTTACTGTGTATGTATAAGTTATTTACTTCATCGAACTTATACCTTTATAATTAGGAAAGCTTCCTATTTAACGTTTTATGTCTTTAACAATCAACCACAGTTATGGTAGGATATACTGCTTACAAGTTGATAGAGTTGCTATGCTGCTCCATTCTTATCGGCTATATCGTGATGCAGTAATACAGCAGGTTGGTTTTTCTCGAATTCTGAATGATTTATTATTTCAGTTCACTCAATTTCTTGTTTGCTTAACAATCTGGAAAACTTTTCTAACCAAGTTGAATTAAGTAATTAAGTGGTTGTTCCCACATGGATTAGATTCAAATACTGAATAAAGATGCATTGCATTGAGTGATTCCAAAAATAGAACAGAACAAAGAATGCAAAAGCAGAGCTCAAAGCACAACTCTGAAGATCAAAATTGATGTAACAATGATGAACTGCAGCTAGGGTTCAATTCCTCTCTGCTTTTCTCTTGAGTAATTAAATTCAGCTTTCGATCCAATTGATTATCAACCAATTCAGGTCCAAATTTGCTACTTTAGGCTGAATTCAATTCCTTGAAATTTAACCCTTTGTGCTACCGAAACCCTTTTTCTTTAGCTATTCCCAATTCTCAACCAAAGCTAGAATTAAACATTAGTTTGTATTTTTGAAGATCTCATCATTTATCAAGTCCTGTTTGTAGACTCCAACAGCATGAATCTTATCCAAATAATCAACCATAGAGTCTTGACTTCGAGGAGCAACAACATTGAAAAGTTCGTGACAAACACCATAAAGACATTGGGTATCATTGGTGTATAATAATTTTGTCTAATCCTAAACTTCTAGAAAAGATTTTGTAGGCACAAAACATTTGTTTTAAAGAAGAATGAATGGTATTCTTGAGAACCATGCATAACTGAGCATCAATTCTCTTCCAATGAGGAAATTCACTAGGAGTAATATTAGTCACCCTTTAAGTAAGGTGATCAAGAAATCCTTGACTCTCAAGCCAAGTTTAATGTCTGACACCCAAGTTGCATTGTTAGTGTCATCTAACTTATCAATGGACAAGTTCACATTGACGTAATTAGTATAGACTGACAGGTTAGACACAGTGGTGGAACAAGAGCAATTGGAAGAGACAACAAAAGAAGCCATGGAGGAGGGAGAGAACAAATCGTAAATGTCAGGAGTTGATCTCCCACGTGATTAAAGTTTGGGTGTAAAGCACAAATGATCATCACCATTAAATATTTGTCAAGTTTCTTCTTGATTTCCTCCAAAAGATTTGACTTGCAAGAACATCTTTAGTTCTTCCGTAGTTGATTGGACTTCAATCACGAAGGACATGATATCATGGTTAGCCATTTTGACAGATGCAAGCTTGTTTGTAGAATCATAAAGACGTTGGATATCATTGGCATAGATGTTTAGAGCTTTCTTCCAAAAGGAGGTAGCATGTTTTGAAAGCTAAAATCAAAAGTCTTGGTTTCGTGGATTGCCACAACAGGGCACAGAAGTGGAAATTCGCTTGTTTCCATTGTTCAGTTTTTTCAACACAGACATGCTTTCATCTTGTTCAAGGTGGTCATGATGTCCTTGGCCAATGAACCACATTTCAACAAATGCAGCCCATGATAGATAATTTTGTCCATTTAGCTTCTTTGAAGTAATGCAAGGACTTCAAGAGAATGAAATAGCATTTCCCGTAGCCATTGTTGACCAAGGAGACGAAAATAGCAAGGAACCAACGAGGAGCGAAAGCAGCAAGGAAAAACAAAAGCCCTAGGATCACTTCCACAAGGTTGACTTCATGTTGGAACGAAGCTTGGAAGGGCAAATCAGAGACAACAAGGTCCGCCAACATTGACGACAATGGTGCGACGAAGTTGTGGCAAGTGGAAGGCGGTGCATGGACATCATGCGCTTGGTAGCGGCAGACTTAGGTTGAGTGCATGGCAGCATGTGGATGAGAATTAGCCTTCAGCATCGGCAGGGTTGGTTGTCGCTTAGAGAGGCACTCCAGATCTAGTGGTCGCGGGTGAAAACTGTGGTGGCCGGCAACAATGGACTATGGTGGATGGTGAATAACGGCGAAAAATGTGCCGGAGATGACGAAGACAGTTAGAGCGGGATCGACCTACTTTGATACCAACTTTAGATTAAAAGCAAAGAAATATATTTTGGAGGGCTTCAGAGGTCCCTCTTATAATCTATTTATTATGAAAAGCTTATACAAGAGTACAAGAAAGATTAAGGAACTAAACTAGACACCTAGGTGCAGAACAAGGTACGACTATAGGTACAACTAATAAATTATCTAGCACAGTATACCCTACTTAGGCTTAATGATGATACATAGATGTAATTATTCTAACAAGAAGCAACTTTGGATGTTTAAAGTTTAAATTTGCACATTACATGGTTCTAGATGTTCAAACAAACTTCTAGGCATTTTAACACACTAGACAGCAAGAAAATTTCAACTATCTCCTTTCAATGCTCATGTTTTCATGCTCCAAAATGAGTGGAAAATCTCTTCGATTCTTCCTCATTTAGCCTCTCCAAGTAGTCCTACAATGAATATAAAAAATAAAAAACAAAGATTGAATTTTCAAAGATTTTAAGGAGGAAGGTTACCACACATAAATATCTCAGCATATGCAAGACATAATACACATTGATTTTCTTACAATTTTCTATGGGCTACTCAAGAATACAACCATGTATATACTAATTTACTTTCTAATCTAAGCAATTATAACTATGTTAAACACTTGCCATATAGTAATAGAGTAAAGCATTTTAACTAGTTACACAAATAAGATATGATATGACCATATGGGGTATGTAATTTTATCCTAGAGCTTGTATGAAAGTAGTATTTATGTAATTTGCCATTGAACTATGGACTTGAAAAAATTGGACTGATGTCAATGGTATATGCAGGGCTCTTTTCCAATTTATTCCAACAGGATTGCCGTGAGTGTGGTCGACAATGTACTTCTTATTCATCAAGTTGATGCAAAGGTTGTTATACTTTATGATCTCTTTGCAGATTCTAGAGCACCAATATCTGCACCACTTCCTCTATTATTAAGGGGATTCCCCAGATCCAGCACTTCATCTCAATCTAGTGGCAGAGAAAGTGAGAGTTCTGACAGTAATATTTTGAGTAATCATGCAGCAGTTACATACTCCAATGCATGGACTTTCCTAGTGCCTGACCTTGTGTGTGATGTGGCCAATAAGTTATTGTGGAAGTTCAATTTAGACATAGAGGTCAGTTATCTGCATATATTTCAATACTGAAATTAGGTGCTTTTTTTCATGAATAATTTATCTTGCAGGCAATTTCTGCCAGTAGCTCAGAGGTCCCATCTGTATTAGAGTTCCTGCAGCGGCGGAGGTTGGAAGCTAACAAGGTATCTTTCTCCCGGCCTAGTCATACCAATGCATCTAATTGATTAATTCTTGTGGGTTCAATAATGAAGCAGTTTCTATTGGTAATTTCTTTTTAATTCAATACACAAGATGATTTTCTTGTAATTAGTTTGTAACAGGACTTGTGCCCACAAATGTGTATTGAAAACTTTATTTGTTGGAGCTGCCATTACAGTTCCAGTAGTTAGCTTAATTCGTGTTGATTGAGATCCTAAAATAAACTTAGCTTATCAAATTTGGCAAGTTTTATTACCCTGCTGGATGATAACCTCTCACTTCTAGATGTTACACTAAGAATGGAAGTTACTAAGCTAAAAAGTGTCATGTTTTTTTTTTTCACACACCCTGGCTTTAACCTAGTTTGTACAATAAAGTTTTTCTGATATCACTTGCCACTCTCAGTTGTCCTTTGGCATAGATTTATGCATTAACTTCTTTTTATGCATCCCAGCTTTAGCATAATGAATGCAATAAACTTATCCTCTTTTTTTTTTTTTTAACTTAAATGGTTTGCTAGGTTTAACAAGTTTGAGTCCTTGAAATAAAGTTAGCTGTGACTTCATGCTTTTTTGCTCAAGTCATTTAGTTAGGGGACTTTTGCACCTTATTATTGTCCCTCTGTGCAACATGAGAACTAAAGTGCATTGAATGGACATTTAACAGTGGATTGATATCATCTACCCTATGAAAAGAATGATTTTTATTTTAATGTCAAGAAAAGCTATAGTGGTTTTCAATTATGGAAGTAAGGTGTTACATAGCTGTATTCAGGATTGTTAAATATAATTATTCTAAACTTTTTTATTGGGAATTGGAAGCACCTTGCAATTTTCATGCTAGACGTGGGAATACTGAATTCCTTTTATCCTTTATTTATAAATGTATATCAGTGGAACTCTGGAATGTGATTATGGGGGGAAGAAAGCTAATCTGAATTGGCTCCTTAAGAAAATGATTTTGTACACATATTTCCTGGAATGTCATTTTGTCAACAAAAAAAAAAAATAGGCTATTAACAGTATTCTCATCTTATTTGTCTGTTTGAAAGTTTGAAATAATTAATTTTTACACAAAATGTCCCCTCGTCCATTGTTTTCAGGCTAAGCAATTGTGCTTGGGTATTACACGTACACTCATTCTAGAGCACAGGCCTGTGCCCGTGGTTTCCAAGGCTGTAAATGTACTAGTCAGCTCATACTCCCATTCAATTAAAACTGGTAACTATCTTAAGAGACTGAAACCAGAAAAGACATCAACTTCTGTTGATCAAAATACTGGCGCTGAGGTATCTGCTATCGAAAGAGATTTAATTGGAAAATCAATCATTCATGAGTCTATGGAAAGAGTCGACAGTGGATCTCTTAATAAAGCTTCAACTGTTTCAAGTTTGGATTCTGATGATGAGTCTCAGTCTGCAAATCCAAAACACAATTCAAAGGATGCCCACAGTGCTTATGTTATGCAACCATCTCTTCAATCTGGGCAAGAGGAATCCCAACTTACTACCGCAGCAATTTCACCAGATGAGATGTACAGCTTTGTCTTTTCTCCTGTTGATGAAGAGATGGTTGGAGACCCTTCTTACTTGGTTGCTATCATTATTGAGTTCCTTCACAGGTATGCTATTGTTATTGAGTTAGTGTGAAAAAAATGAGAAAGGAATTTTCTGAATGTGCTGAAATATCTTTTCTGCTTTGCAGATTGATTTATTTAACTAGAATGATTACTAAGATGATAAAAAACAACTACTCTGTTATCAAGAGAATACTTCTTACATCACAACTTCCTGACGAATATTGAATTATGCTAAACAATTACTGAACTATCTAGAAAGATAATAAAGATAAATGCTGCTAGATTCTAATGGATTTTTGTTTGGTCCACTGTCCTTATATCATAATTTGTAAGTAAATAAGGCAAGTCCAGAAAATTCTGAAAACTAACAATTGCCATTAGCCAGCCATGGACTTGATATAGGATGTTATGTAAACATATACTTGGTCGGTTGTATTGTACCAGGTGTTCACTTTAAATGATGTACATTCTTGTGCTTTTTATGCTATATTTTTCTTGATCTAGAAAATTTTGCTTCCACTACTTTGAATCTTCGCTCTTTATTTTTGTTACAGTGCAAATTCAGAAAAGATACGTGTACTCCCAAATGTGTATGTATTAATTATTCAGCTTCTGGCTCGCAATGAACGTTATGCAGAGCTCGGGTTGTTTGTCTTAAACAAGGTTAGAAAGTTCTGTATAAGTGTAAAGGTTGGAAGCCTTTTTATGTTCATTATGATTTGTTTGATTCTAAGACGTGTCTCTTTTGGTTGCAGATTCTGGAGCCATCTAAGGAAGTCGCACTTCAACTCCTAGAGTCTGGTCGCCAGAATGCTCAGACTAGGAAGCTTGGTCTTGATATGCTGAGACAATTAGGTTTACATCATGATTATGTTTTGCTGCTTGTGCAGGATGGATACTACCTTGAAGCCTTAAGATATGCACGGAAAAACAGGGTAACTTCTTACTGTGCCGACTCCTGGTATAGGAAGTAGTCATTATATAGTATTTTAAATAGCAAAGAGATCCGGGAGATAATGGAAAACTGGGGACTCTCGTGTTGCAATTTTGATACTTGTATGGATTGTTGCTATAGAAAACAGCTATCCCTTTATGATAGGTTATTATTTCCCAACATCTGGAGATAGATAGTCCTTTGCTGAAAATGAAGTATAGGTGTTACACTGTTTTCAAAATCCATTAACGGTAGGGTTTAGGTGCCTCCAGATAGAAATCTAGTACACATCACCTAGTACTATAGAAAACAGCTATCCCTATATGATAGGTTATTATTTCCAACATCTGGAGATAGATTGTTGCTATAGAAAACAGCTATCCCCTATATGATAGGTTATTATTTCCCAACATCTGGAGATAGATAGTCCTTTACTGAAAATAAAGTATAGGTGTTATACTGTTTTCAAAATCCATTAACGGTATGGTTTAGGTGCCTCCAGATAGAAATCTTGTACACATCACCTAGTGCTTCACCCTGAACAGACACACATGATAGCGGGCAAAGGAGGCCATCTTGAAAGAGAGCCTGGATCCCTATGCCATAAAAAGCTACAACTCACTATATTTGGTAGGTTTTTATGGAAAGGAAACCCCACCAGTCGATCAGGCTTCATCAATCACCTTGATTTTGGGTTCCTTTGTGGCAAGTGGGTCAAGGAAGTCTAAGCCTCTTAATATAAATCAATAAGACCACATCTCCTCTATAGACCTGATTTTGTTTCTCACTAAATGCCCTTTCGTCCACATTCTAAACAAACTCGGAAATTTGACCCCCCACACTTGACCTGTCAACCTGCAGAAGCTGCCTCCCTGTAACCCTTAACCTGTTAAACAGGAAGCTTGTATTGCTAGTCCGCCCATATATAAATTGCATTAGGATACACTTAATGAGAGAGCAAGTTTCCCAGAAATTCCTGCCAGATCTTGTATATGAACCTCATCCTGGGATATGAAGAAAACATCACCTCCAGGCTACTTAGGTTAAAGCCCCGTGTATTCCTTATAGAATGTTCCTCCAAACTCTCATCCCCTATGTTCCAAGAACGGAAGCCAACATTCATTGCAAATTCAGATGGATAAATATATGATGTACTCTTTCTACTTTTCAGAGTACTCCATGACTGCATTTGCCTGCATGGGCATGTCTAGTTATTTCCACACCTCAGTAGTGTAAAGTGACCCATCCCAACACACTTAATACTTTGTTTGGAAGGACTAAAGTTTGTGAGGTTTTCCTGAGGAGAGACACCAGGGAAGATTCAGTACGAGTGAGTCGTGAACACATTCATATAAGAGACCAAGGCACCACTTTCAACCCAAAACCTTAAAGTATTAAGTTTATGGGTACTTCTACTTATATATTAGTCTTACTCATTTCTACCCAATGGAAGACTTCCAACTCACCTTGAATTCCTAACAATCTTCCCTTCAAGTGTGAGTCCAATCCACATTGGAATACCTGTGTCTCAAGCACGAGTATCTTAGTGGTGATCATCTTTTGTACCGTCATTCTACAATGGGACACTCTCTCCTAAAATAAGGAATCCTTAAACTTTAGGTTCTTCATCTACTTTATACTGCACTCATCCAAGTTGTCACCTGGATAAATCATCGCTCTAATACAACTGAGGCTTTTTCGAGAGGGGACACCAAGGAGATTCGTCACCAATGAGTTGTGAATAGGTCCATATAAGAGATTATGACGTCACTTTTAATCTAAAACCTTAAGACATTGACTTATGGGTCTTTCTACTTATATACTAGTCATCTTACTCATTTTTATCTAATATGGAACTTTTAACTCATCTTGAATTCCTAACAAAGTTAGAAAAAGCAAAATAAAGAAATAAACTGCTAAAAAGGAGTGCCTTTTGATTTGTTTGTTAGAGAGAAAGTGAAAGGAAAATGAAGATAAATTTAAATTCTAAAATAGTTTTTTTCACCTACTCTCTCATCAATTTAAATACGGAGTTGAAGTGATTGAACCACGTCAATTTCTTTGGGACGGATTATATTTCTATGAGATGGTATCGCGTATAGATATTGTTATTTATTTCATTGAAACCTTGCCGACCAACTTTTTATGGTCATAGACAGGGTGTTGAAGTTGTTGGTATGGTTAGGGAAATATCGTTGCTGATAGATACTTTGGAAATCAGTAAAGTAGATGTTTTGATTATAGGTGTTTAAATAAACTTGTTCCAATGTGCCGGCCAAAAAATCCGCAGAACAGAGTGAATTGCTTTCCCCACCTCGTCAAATTTCTTCTCCCACCCCATCAAATCCTTCCTGAAATTGCTTTCCATAAAAGGAGGGTAATGTTTGACTTCGGCAAAAAAAAATTCCGGAATTGTTTATTGAGTTCCAGAAATGATGGGGTCCAGAAAATAATTGGCTATAATTTATTGTTAGCTCGTATTTTAAAATAGTAATTATATTTAGAAAAATTAAAAGTAATATTGGTTTATTAGGACATACACACGTTATAATTTTTATATCAAATTATCTAATCTGAAAATGAAAATTAGTTTAATTAAATGACTGGAATTTTAAAAGTACATTTTTATTTTGGATGTAATTTTATTTTTAAATAAGTTAAAATGATCTATTGATCTGACATTGGGTTGGGCTGTGCTGTCACTTTTTAATTCCTGGATCTGTCAGGCCAGACTGCCAGTCCTGATGTTATTCTGTGAGCTTTCACTAATGAAAGACTACTTAGTTTTTAAGTAATTGATATATCTTGCACTTATTATGCTTATTTCCATTAATGGTAAATGGTTGGTTTCCGGTTCCACCTGATGTACAAAATCTAATATCAAACTACTTCTAGTATGGTTATGTTGTGATTGAACATATAATAAGGAAACAAGTATCGCAATGTTTGTGTTTATGATTTTGTTTAATTTTCAGGTGGATAGCATCCGGCCCTCATTGTTCTTAGAAGCAGCATTTGTTTCCAACGACTCTCAACATCTTGCTGCGGTTCTAAGGTTCTTTACAGATTTCCTTCCTGGCTTCAAAAACACCTCGGACCATAATAGATACTGCCGTATACTGAATGAAATGAACTCATCCATAACTGTTTGAGAAGTAAAAGAATAGTTGAAATTGGTTCATTATCATTATAATGTATCCTTGTTCAACCTTAGGAATATCTGGCTATGACGTCTGATTTCTTAGATACGAAACATATTTGGTAATGGTTTCATGTTGTATGTTAAATAAATGTCTCCCTAGTTAGACTAGCTGTAGTAGATATTTTGGTTGAGTTTTGCGACTGAATTGCATAACTGTTCAATACATTACATACATTTTGGGAGGGAAAGGAACAGAGTAATGAATTTTTTGTTCTCGGAAAGATGCTAAAATTTCCAAATGGATATGAATATCATCATTTTTATGTAATTAATTCCAAGTATTTAATTTATATTAAGATGCCAAAGAAAACTTAATATTGTAGCATGCTAACTTTTTGTTTTTTTTTTTGTTTTTGCTATCCGTTTGTATTATTCTAGTTCTCTTAACATTTTAATGTCTAAGTGTTGGTATTTTCTGTAAGTTTAATTTCATTAATAACACAAACCATTATGTTCTCTACTTGCCAAAGAATCACCGGTGTCACAAAGGTGACTTGAATAAGTTATCCGATAAAAAGTAGTCAGTAATGAAAAATATAAATATTCTGTAACAATATATCCTAACAAAAACTAGGAAACCATAAGTAAAAAAACTAAAAATTCAAATGTTATCTAATGCAGTATGATTTAGTTTAAAATTTTATTATTAAAAGTATACAAGTTCTTTCCACTGATCTTGAAAATATATTAAACAAATTACATTTGTCAAACAAAATATATATGTGCACATGGAAGAGTGAGAAGGATGTTTTCTAACTCCAACGTGAAAATTATAACTAATAATTCCTTCTTTATTTAAGTAGTATTAGTATATTTATATCATTATATAAAAAATACAATTTTTTATAATTATCTTCTGTCATTTTTTATTCGACAACCTTATTAAAAAAAATAGTCTTATTATTTGATAAAGCGCTCAACTTTTACAAGTATTTAAAAATAATAACAAACAATTAACCCTAAAATGTTGAAGAAAGAGAAACATACATTACAACAGTGTTAAATAATGTTGTTATGATTGCATGGTTTTGTAACAGCTTTTCATTATAGAGTTAGGTTTCTTGTAATAATTCCCAGCTGCCATTGATGATGTTCTTAAAAACGGAGTTGTTGACTAAATAAGTGAACACAACACAACAATTTACTAATGTAAGGATAAACCTGATCTTGAATTGTTAATATAACACATTATTAATATTCTCTTATGTGGTCTCAAACATTGAGTAATTAATTAAATTTATATTTTATTCACATGCATTAAAAAAGCTAGGAAAATATCTTAGTCGGAAACCAAAAAACATTATGTAAGCTTGCGTTGCATGATGATGCACGAATAAAAAAGAAACATAGGCCCATACCAAAGCAGTTGCAATGAGTGGTCATTAGTCGGAAAAGAAGTTGAAATTTTATAGTATTTTGTTTTGGTTGTCGTGGTTGTAATTGACTACAACTGTGAGAAAGAAAAACTAATCATGTTATAAATTATACCTTAAGCAACATCATTTTGTTGTTTTAGAAAAAAGAATGAGATATGATTGAACTACTCCACAAGATTAAACCAAAATAATAAGGTCATCCAATACATACTAATAAAAGTTTTAAAGCTATCTGTGTATTGTTTTCTATAAATCTTTTTTACTTTTGTTTAATAAATAAAGGACTCACTATATGAATCCTAAGCAGAAAGATCCACTAATACGTAAATAGAAAAACAAATGAGATGTTGAGAAAGAAAGAGACCTAATTATATTGTGTAATGATTTAAACGAAATGAAATAAACCATATTATGATTTTAATCAATTAAACTAAATTATTTTTTGAATTGTTTGAATTATTACCAACCAGACTAAATTATTAGAGAGTCATACGAAGAATTGAATTTTTAAAAAAATTAAGTTAATATATGAATTCAATGCAATTCTTTTGTATATAATTCAATTCAATGGAAGTGTTAATTTAATAATTCTGAACAAACTTAAAGTCATTTATCTACCTACGTTGCATAAGCTATCTTTGCATCGATGGAGACAATTATAAAGTTAATTGAAAGGGGAATTCATAACCTTCTTGAGGTTGCACTGAGTAGATAAAGTTATGAGAAGAAATCATGAATAGGAGGGGTAAATGATCAAATTCATCTTTGAAAATGCGTAATGTTATCATTTTAATTAGTATCTGAAAGCAGCCTAGTAGTCTTTGAACATGAGGAGATAAAAACACCATTTGTTCTTCTATTACAGGAAGTTTGTGTCATCTGTCTACTTGCTAGTTAAAATAGTCAAAAGTAAAGTTTTCTTTTAAGAATGATGTTATTTTCATTACTTAACCACTTACTGTCATATTTTAATACTACTTTTGAATTTTCAATAAAGCTATTCATTGCTCTGACAAATGTTGACTAACAATAAAGGATAAAATAATATTTATGTAAAACAATTACAATTTGTTCTTTAAGTCCTCTCAAGTGCTTATTGTATCACTCACTCACATATCTTTCACATGAACAAATACATCAAAATATATGGAACAATTGTACTTAGTCATCAACAACATTAATTTTTATCTTTACTTTACATTAATTTAAAATATATTTATATACAGTTCTTAACATATTTGACTTAGAATAAGAATTTATTTTTATCAAAAATTTTAATATATTTTCATTATCAAACTTTAAAAACCAATAGATATAATTTTTTAATCCAATTATATTAACTTTTTTTAATATGTCCAACACATTTTATTTAGCATTTCTTTATACTTTTGAAACCTTTTAGAAAGAAAACATTAAAATAAAAATATATCTGTAAACAAATCAAATATTATCATAAAATTATGATTAATATATGAGAAAAATTAGTGTAATTAAATTAAAAGGAATTTATTTATCTATTTTTAAAATTTAATGCCAAAAATGTATTATTAAAGTCTCAAGAAAAATAATTAATTTCACATCAAAATTTAAAATTTAAAAACATATTTAATCTTTAAAAAATATCTAAAATATTGAATTTCAGAATAAAGTTGGAGGTCATTACTACACATAAAGTATTAGTAAAATGTTTCTTCTTCTTCTTCTTTTTTTTCATACTTTTTATCTTTCTTTCACATAATTTATTATTGTTCATCTTTATTTTTGTCTCATCCATCTTTATATCAAATTCAGCAATTAAATTTGAAAACTGTCAGAGTCTAAATTTATATTTTACACCATTGGTTGTTTTTTTAACTAAAAAAGAGATGAAGGTGAATGATGTGATGTTGTTTGATATTCTTATGAAATGACTCATTATATTAAAAAAAATCAAAAATCTTAATTACAGATCGTAAAGTTGTATGTTACATGTGCAACTAAGACATTTGCATTATATGTATTTTATACAACTGTTAAACTAAATTATAATTTATTACATATAGTAGTAGTTATTAATTAAATCCAAAACTACATTAATATATATGACAGTCAAGGTGAACTATATATAGAATATAAANTCTACTTATATATTAGTCTTACTCATTTCTACCCAATGGAAGACTTCCAACTCACCTTGAATTCCTAACAATCTTCCCTTCAAGTGTGAGTCCAATCCACATTGGAATACCTGTGTCTCAAGCACGAGTATCATAGTGGTGATCATCTTTTGTACCGTCATTCTACAATGGGACACTCTCTCCTAAAATAAGGAATCCTTAAACTTTAGGTTCTTCATCTACTTTATACTGCACTCATCCAAGTTGTCACCTGGATAAATCATCGCTCTAATACAACTGAGGCTTTTTCGAGAGGGGACACCAAGGAGATTCGTCACCAATGAGTTGTGAATAGGTCCATATAAGAGATTATGACGTCACTTTTAATCTAAAACCTTAAGACATTGACTTATGGGTCTTTCTACTTATATACTAGTCATCTTACTCATTTTTATCTAATATGGAACTTTTAACTCATCTTGAATTCCTAACAAAGTTAGAAAAAGCAAAATAAAGAAATAAACTGCTAAAAAGGAGTGCCTTTTGATTTGTTTGTTAGAGAGAAAGTGAAAGGAAAATGAAGATAAATTTAAATTCTAAAATAGTTTTTTTCACCTACTCTCTCATCAATTTAAATACGGAGTTGAAGTGATTGAACCACGTCAATTTCTTTGGGACGGATTATATTTCTATGAGATGGTATCGCGTATAGATATTGTTATTTATTTCATTGAAACCTTGCCGACCAACTTTTTATGGTCATAGACAGGGTGTTGAAGTTGTTGGTATGGTTAGGGAAATATCGTTGCTGATAGATACTTTGGAAATCAGTAAAGTAGATGTTTTGATTATAGGTGTTTAAATAAACTTGTTCCAATGTGCCGGCCAAAAAATCCGCAGAACAGAGTGAATTGCTTTCCCCACCTCGTCAAATTTCTTCTCCCACCCCATCAAATCCTTCCTGAAATTGCTTTCCATAAAAGGAGGGTAATGTTTGACTTCGGCAAAAAAAAATTCCGGAATTGTTTATTGAGTTCCAGAAATGATGGGGTCCAGAAAATAATTGGCTATAATTTATTGTTAGCTCGTATTTTAAAATAGTAATTATATTTAGAAAAATTAAAAGTAATATTGGTTTATTAGGACATACACACGTTATAATTTTTATATCAAATTATCTAATCTGAAAATGAAAATTAGTTTAATTAAATGACTGGAATTTTAAAAGTACATTTTTATTTTGGATGTAATTTTATTTTTAAATAAGTTAAAATGATCTATTGATCTGACATTGGGTTGGGCTGTGCTGTCACTTTTTAATTCCTGGATCTGTCAGGCCAGACTGCCAGTCCTGATGTTATTCTGTGAGCTTTCACTAATGAAAGACTACTTAGTTTTTAAGTAATTGATATATCTTGCACTTATTATGCTTATTTCCATTAATGGTAAATGGTTGGTTTCCGGTTCCACCTGATGTACAAAATCTAATATCAAACTACTTCTAGTATGGTTATGTTGTGATTGAACATATAATAAGGAAACAAGTATCGCAATGTTTGTGTTTATGATTTTGTTTAATTTTCAGGTGGATAGCATCCGGCCCTCATTGTTCTTAGAAGCAGCATTTGTTTCCAACGACTCTCAACATCTTGCTGCGGTTCTAAGGTTCTTTACAGATTTCCTTCCTGGCTTCAAAAACACCTCGGACCATAATAGATACTGCCGTATACTGAATGAAATGAACTCATCCATAACTGTTTGAGAAGTAAAAGAATAGTTGAAATTGGTTCATTATC